GATAACATAATTATTCTTCTGATTTTCATCCCAGCAGGAGAGAAATGGAACCACAGGACAAGTTTATTTGTACAACAGACCACATATTTCCTTGTTTAGGAACTGTAATGAAATCATAATCTGACACTAAGACTATATTAAAAATCTGTTTCTGTTTAGAATGATAAACAAGCTGGTCCTAAATCTCAAAATACTGTTTAAGAAGAATTAGTATGTCTGATTGTAGTGAGTATTCATACTGAATTACTACATAATAAAATAAGAGAAGTGGGCAAAAAGCTTTTTTCCCTGCCAGGAAGATGGAGTCAATCAGTTTGTGGTTGTGCACTGCTGCTCTGTTTTTCCTTTGCTCTGGCTGCTGAATGAGCTACACTGGCAGGTCAAACCTCGCAAGTATCTTTTCACTTCACCCACGGTTCTTTGTGAGCAAATGATTAGCTTTCTGATTACCTTGTTCAGGGGATAAATGCTGATGGGCTCTGAGAATCTACAAACTAAAGTTTTTGTCATGCCATAACCAGAATGGATCAAAACACTGAGGGTGTTGGTCTGTTTGGGGCATCTCTGGATCACTTCGGTGCATCCACTAACCTTCTGTCTGTAACATAGGCCACCTGACATATTTTATGGACTTTTGGGTTTTGATCTTAGTATTCTCATCTAGAGAAAAAGAGTGTGTCCTCCCTTCCAGATGCTTTCCTTTATGCTTATTGCCATACTGGTTTATCCACAAGCCTTTTGGCAGCAACAACAGGAGCCAGGCTGGTATTAACAGGTTACGTGGAACCCCCTGAATTTACTGCATTTCTAAAAAGCAAGTTTGAAATCCTATTTCACCTTCCAATAAGGCTGGTGTTTCATTTCGGGTACGTTACAAGAAATATAGTGTCAGCAGCTGAGATTAAATGTAGAGCCTCAAGTAGGTCTAATTAGAAGTAATGTACTTCTATAGAAATTAAATACTTACTTGTAGGTCCTTGCAAGTTATTAGTTTTCACCATAAATGGAAACATAATTTTCAATCTTTGTTGACCCATATTGATACATTTATATTTATTTACAAAATTAATTGGATCTGATGTGGTTTACCAGAAAAATCTGGTTGAGGAAATGTTTTCAGATGTGCATTTACATTCAACTTCTAAGCGCAACCAAAAAGTGTGTGTCCGTTGTGCATAACTGGAGTAAATATTTTTTCAGGTTTCATTCATTTGGAATCTAGGTTAGAATGCTGGATAAAATAATTTAAGAGCTGTTTGAGTATTTTGGACTGGAAAATCTTCTTTTTATTTGTACAGGAAGTATTCCTCAGTTACATGCAATGACTGGACAAAAGTAACAAAGCTGCAACACTGAGTTGAATTAAAGTGACCGGGTCACCCAGGTCCTGTTAGAGGAGGTTTTATGACATTTTTTTAAGTGTGGTTCATAAAAGAGTTCTGATTTGCATTTACAGTGAGCTTCTAAAACAGTGCCAATTATTCACAATTAGAGTAAATATTTTTTCAGGTTTCATTCTTTTGGAATTGAGGTTAGAACATTCAGTGAAAATATTCAATGGCACTTCTTACTAAACCGCGCACATCTGTGGGGGAGGTAGTAAGAAATGCACTAGAAACATCTGTTCGGTGTTCCAGGCAATTTTTATTTTATATGAAAAAAAAATGCCAGCTCCCTCAGCTGTAACACTGAGAAAAAACATTTGACACTTCAAGTTTTGGCCTGTTAATTTTTTCAGCTCTAAATGGGTACGGTAATTGCTTTTGTCCATCAGCAGACTGTTTGCTCACTCTGCTAAACTGAGGTTTCATAATTCCGGTGCTGGGGTGTATTAGCATGGCGACTACACCTGGCCATGGATGTGGACGAGGAGAGGCGAGTCTGACTTCTTGCCACACTCCGGGGAGCAGAAGCGGTGAGTGGGCCACATGGGGACACAGGAGGATACGTTTGCCTGCTCGAACAGTCCTTGTGGTTCCAACATCTGTTTCGCACCTTTGCAGCGGAAGGGCAGCGGGCTGGAGGGCGGGGATGTTCCACATCTGCATTCAGCTGGCACTTGATGTCACAGTGAGTTAATAATTGTAAGGGATTTTCAAAATGGAGTGAATTATATTAGTGTTGAATTGGGTTGACCCATGGCTTCTTAAAAAGTAGAAAAGAATAGATTTGGGAAAACAAAAGGGAATGGTAAGGGAAACCTTACTAACTCATTCCCCCTGACTGCACATCTGTGCTTTGTGTTACGATGTCCTCTGCTTTTTGTTGTATTGTCTGTCCTTCTTCTGTATTTTTAACCGTATCAGAATGAAAGTTAGTTCAGCATAAAGCATACATAAAAATGTAAAGGAGTTTGGAAACACCATTGTATTTATTATTATTTATTTATTTATTTATATTTTTTATTCCAGTCTGTTTATTCCAACAGACTGGAATCCTCACTCCGACGACAGTAACTTACAGAAGGAATGGTGACCATTCTCTGCAGAAAATAATTTTTACTTTTTTTTTTCTCCCATATGAAAAAATGAAAACAGTTTTATCTGAACAGTTGTAAATTAATCTGCAATGTTGCTATGAAGTCTAGTCAGCTGTTGCAAAGGTTTCATTTAACAAACTCCACACTTGATGGTGTTTGCAATAAAAATTGTTAAAGTGAAATATCATGAATTTGGTGTTTGTTAGTTCGACATCACATTGATAGGACCGTTGTTCATTTTTAATAGCTAACTTTACACATATTTATTGGGGTACTTTACACTGGGATCAATAGGTAACCAAAGCTTAAGAACTCCTGTTACACAGTAGATAAAACTATTTTAGAAGCTTTTCAATCATACTGATCTTTTAGATCATGCTTACTTAAGTCAGCATTTTCAGACTCAACTAATTTAGTCACCTGCAGTGAAATTCTGTCTCCTTTGATTTCAGTTTCAGTTCTTCCATTTCACTGTACACACAGGATTAAGATTTCACCTATAGTCTCTGTTTAGTCACTGAAGTTTGTGGTCTGTTTTTTTAGACATGTCAAACACACGTAATTCCCACTAAAATCAATAGATGCAATACATGCTCAGCATTCCTGGCACCTGGATTGAATTGTGGATCTAATTCTGCAGATGTTCCATCGAGATAAAGTTCTGCATCTGCCCAGAATTATCAGGAAGGGCTGCATTCAAATGCTGACCTTTGCATATGTTAACCAATGGCTCAAGATTCAACCTGTGCCCACGCAGGGTTTATTTTTCCCCTGAACCACCCTATAAGCTATTATTCAATTTTTCTGTAACACCTCCATCCCTTTGGTTTAAGCATTCTAGCTTGGCATCTCTGTCTTCAGCTTGGGTTAGCATATTACCAAATACATTATTGCTGCTACCAAAACGACTTCAGCATATTCTGCCTTAAATTTCATGCATGCAAATATCATTGGAATTCTTGTAATAACATTGATCAATATTCTGAAATGACCTGTTGTAACTCTTTATGTTAACCTACACAGAACTCTTTTTTTTTTTTTTTTTTCCACATAGACTCTCTCTATTTTAGAAATACTTGTTTTGTTTTAGAGACACCAGAATTGCCAAGTCTAGTCATCGGTTTTGCTGCAGGAATTCTTGAAGGTCTCTAAGATGTCTGTCATGAGCTTTTACAATGTTCATGCAGGTGATCTGCCTATGCATTAACAGAAATCAGGCTGTGCTAGCCACGCTGCCTTACCTAGGTAGAGCTTGGGCAGCAATAGCATAAATTCCATCTTGGAGTTATGCCAATTAGATTTACAGCACCTTTGCTATTTTAATACCTCACACGGCAAACATTGTTGGTAAAATTTAGTCCATCAATAAAAGCAACCGCTTTGCCTGTGTCCCTTTGCAGGGGAAATGTTACCTTCTGACCAGCAAAACTGCAGATAGCCAGTTGTTTTGAGAAGTTCAGGAATAGGGACAAGCCTTCTTTATTTATTTATTTCTGTATTTATTTGGTATCAGAGAAAGATTTAGAAATATGGTGTCAAATGATAAAAATTATCCAAATGAACACTGAGCCACATGAAGCCCTATCTTCTCTTTAATACTGTACAGTAGCTGTCAGTTATGTTTAGAATAATGCTTCTATTCCAGTTTTCATAACAAAGCTATATTACAGCAAACATAAGTGTTACTTTTAAGAATTCTACAGATCTGCTTCACTTGAATGTGTCTTTTTAAAAAATACCAATTTTTCAATTAGGTGTTTAAATATATTTGGAATTACAGCAACGGAAGCCAGCCTGGAGTGCAATAAAAAAAATTAAATGTCTGCTTTCAATGCATTTTTGCTACACAAACCCACAAGATCAAATACTAACACTGCAAGCATATTTCTGGCACACACATAAGAATAATCACATAATGCATACCCAGATGCTTATTGGTAAACTATGCTTCCGAACGCTCTGAACAAGGGCTGTGATCCCAAACAGCGGATAGAGTCAGCTCCAGCAGCTGCAGCGGTTGCTGCTCCAGGTGTCTGCCAGAGGTTACCATCCCTCTGCTGCCACAGTTCTTGGCTCACCAGACTAACTCACAGACTAACTCGCCAACGACTAAACCGGTGCACTTTCTGAGGAGAGCAGAGATGCCCCATGCAGGGATGCCCCATGCGGCTCTCCAGCCTCTGGCAGGGAAGCAGGGCAGGCAACAGGCTTTAACAAGGAGTTAAAACCTCCGGCAGCCAAGGCTAGATCTATCTAGAACTGCAAATCAGAGCCCTAAGATAAAGTTCAGTCAGCTTGAACGGGCCTACCACATATTCCTGCAAACCTACGCTCTATGGCTTGCAGTGGCTTGAAAGGAAAAGCAAACCTTTTAGAAGTAAAGTGCAGCAAAAAATGTCTATGTAGAAACAGCCGTGAGTTTTTAAGTCGATGAGTTCTGGATTAATAAAACATGCCAACCAAGCCATATTGTAACCCCTTCATCGTGCAGGAAAAGTCTTTCCTTTTGGAAATTTCATACTCATACTTTTTTTGGGTTGGTTTCTTTCTGGCCATTTCTTATTTTAATGGCCTTTTTGGGGCCACTGACCAGCGGGTTGGTGTTCTTGGTTGATGGTTTTGGGGCTCCACTCCGACCACTGCGTCCTGCATTCTGCTTTTTATTGCGGGCTGTTCGCAGCTTTTGTTCTTGCAGTCTCTGTTCCCACCTCTGTGGAAATGCAGAAGACAAAGAGGCTGAGTTAGAGAAGGACATAATCATAAATAATTATGTTTTAATGGGAGCCATCCTGAACCCCTGATACTAGCGTTGCTTTGAACGGTTTCGTGCTCTATCCTGCAGGGCCATCAATGTCAGCACGTTATGGCTGTCTGCAGGGGGAACCCGCCATGTGTTCTTGGGTGGGGGAATTTGCATGATACCAGTTGATGAAAATGACAACCGCACATCTCGTGTGCGTGCTGCGTGCGAGCGCACACCTCATGCCCTTTCAGAAATCCAGGGGAGCTGGCACCATGCCATCAAAAAGAGAGGATCTGCACACTGGGACTCCTCTGCAAACCCCTTGTTTGCTGTCTTACTGAATGTGCTACTTGACTTTTCCTCAGAAAAGTCCGCAGAAAGCAGGCTGTCCTTTCACGATATATATTTAAACACACAGCTACAAGGGAAGGTGGTCTTTACTTTCTGGTTCTGCTTTTCCCTGGAGTGGAGAGGACTGGGCATGAAGGAGCTTATGTTACGGACAGACAACAGAGATGACCACTGAAATCACGGTGTTTGGAGTTGCCATGGGATGGTTGTGAATAATACACCTGCAGCTTTATTCAGCAGCACCCCTGGGAAATTTTGGAAAGCAGTTAAATCCAAGAGCCCACCAAAGAGAATAGCTGTCAGATTTCCAAACCCAAAAGTGCAGTGGTTAGAAAACAGGTTTTTACAGTGAGGTTAAGTGGTTAGGTGGTCCAAAATATGGGGAGATCCACAACACTGCAGCAGAGACTGCAGTCTTTCACCTCTAAGAACAGAAATACTTGTTTTAAAGAAAGGAAGGTAAAGAATAGAACCTGGAGAGGGTCTCACCTCTCCCTTCTATTAATGGACTTTCTCCTCAGAAACTCTGAAAGTCAGGGGTTTTGCCCAGTGAGCAGAGTAAGAGAAGTGCTCTCCAGCTTTCCTATTTAGTATCTCCGCAGTGACCCTGCTGCAACTCAGACTCTTGTCCTGGCTAGAGAAGAGACCAGCCATGTTGTGGTTATGTTAACAGCTGTCTTCTGTGGTCCACAGACAGCTCAAAACATTCATTTTAAGTGGTAACTCAAGACAAAAGTTGGATGCAAGTCTTCAGAGAGGAATGATGGGCATTAAAATGAAGCCACTATGATACCTAGCTCCATACCAGCTATCTTTGTGCAGTCAGGGTCATGATATGCATCTTTACAAAACAAAAACTATCTGCAGGCATTTAGGTGTGTCCCACTCAAACATGTTTAAGTGAGGATTTAATTTATGAAACTATTAATATCAGAGGGAATGACATGTGCTTTGAGAAGTATTTTGTTTGGCAGTCATGCATCTATTTGACAGTCTGGAAATGAAAGTCCAAACAGGTTTCAAGACAGAAATGACAAAACAGTGTGAGAAGGCCACTAAAACACACTGTGTGCCAGTAACAGGCCATTAAGTTGACCGCTAAGGGATTTCAAGAATCCAAATCATATGTCAGTATTCTCCTCAGTCCCACATGGTATCATCTGCAATTGAAATGTACTTATTTTTTAAAGATTTAAAGCATGTTTTCTTTTTTACGCATAGGTTTTACATGAGGAGAAAAGGGAATGATAAAAGCATCAAATACAGTTTCTTGCAAAAGTTGGTCTGTAAGCTAAGAGCCTCTACTGATGGACACCTGCATCTTTTTTTTCCTCCTCTCTACCAATTGCCAATTAGCTCATAATTAAAATAAATATACATGTATGTCCTTAATGCTCTGAATCCTCTTCTGAATTCCAGAAATACCTTTCTTCCATCTCTAAAAGTGTGAAGAAGTGTCAGACATTGTCTTTCTTTCCATTAGAAAGAGGAGTTTAGAAGCAGGGAGTGATAGCAAGTGCTATCCTGAAGCCCCAAAAAGCATGGGTGTCTGCTGCTCCTGCCCTCCCAGGTCTCTATACTATATATAAACATTTCCTTCCAATGTTTCCTGAAACCAATGTGGGGATGCCCAATACTTTCAGTGGGTCTTCAGTGCGAAGTAACAGGTGAGAAGTCTGTGTCTCCAGCCTGCAATCTTTAATGCAGCAAAGCCCATTTATCCAGTGCGGTGGATTTTAACTTCCTTTCTTACCTATGTGGACTACATACTCATTCCTAGAGTCAATAAGCCAGAGTTCACACGAAGATCATCCAACCATCCTGTTTAGGGACAGTTTGCAGATAAAATAGAAATAAAATTTTAAAGACCCTAAAATGCGAGCCTAAAATTTTCCAATTTTCACTTACACTTATATGCACGTATGAGGTATAAAAATGTTGAAGTGAAAATAATAATAGCCGGAGGTGTTGTGGATATCTGAAAGTCAATCAAGTTATTCAGTGCTGAAGTAGAACAAAGTTGTTTAACTTTTTATCAAAAACATCAACAGTCTTTTCTTTGGTGGTATTTACCTTAAATCTTTTGTTTAGCTGATCCTTCCATTTTTCAACTAGACATCCATCAAGAAGCATCAACCTGAAAATTTAGAAATAAACACAAGTTATAGATATTTCTGATTTTGATTCCTGAGGTGCCATTCCAGATGATTTAACAGAAACTGAGGCTGAAACGAACCAGCAAGTACTGGTACTGACAGTTTCCGTGTATGGGATGATAGGCAGAATAATATTTTTCTCCATCCCTAAATGCTTCCTAAGGGATTTCTAAATGCTTATACAGATCCTTCTGAAATTCTACTCCACACTCAGTAAAAACAGAAAATAGTTTTCAAAAGAAATCAGATTTTACAGCCAAAACTGAAGCACATGGCCAGTATTGAGAAAACATTTAGAGCCCTTTGCTCTCACCTGCAGCTATTCTGCAGGGGAAAATTGTCCTGTCTTGATCACCGTTAACAAAAAGTGATGGGTTGGGTAACATCCCACGAAACTGCTTAAATGTCTTTGTCACATATATTTTTATTTATGTCCACTATATGTTTGTGTGTGTGTGCGTGTGTGTGTGCAGAAGAGCAGTTTAAATTAATGTATTTTACTTCTGAATTGAAAAAAAAAGCTCGGTTTTACACACACCAGTTAATAAAGCTCAGCTGATAAATGGTAGCATTTTATTTGACCACTTACAACTGCCTCCATTGCAACCTATAAATACATTGGGATGGTATTATGTATTCCCTACATGTAACTACTTAATGAGTACTTTAAAGTATGCTCAGAATATGTATGGGCAGTGATATTTGCCTATCAATGAAATCTGGCTGGCTCCTGTATGAAAATACTGAGCCTAGGTGTTATGAAATGAACAAAACAAAAGTGTAACTATTGAATATATATGCATTAAGCAACTTCTAAAATAGTTTATGCTAAAGTGGTCTGATGTCACAGCTTGTAAGTCCCACCCTAGAAACAACTATTTTATAACACAGGGATGCTGGAATTTCTGTATCTATCTCCTCTGCTGCTAACTATTTATTTTAACTTTTTTTTTGGTTTCTTTTTTTTTTTTTTTGAGATACTGGGCCTTAAGATGCCCTAATATAATTTCCCTAATTCTGGAAGGCTTTATTTAAACATCAGCATTGGCTGAAGACAAACATCGTTACAAATGCACATAATTTCATACCACACTTTGCTGGTGGGTGAGATTTACACAGTGTAGCAGGGCCTGACTCTTCAGTTTCTATAAATGGTGTTGCTGCTCATACCAGTTCAAAAAGAGTACAAAATGCTGCCTCTTGGACCCGTTAGCCACCGTGCACCCCCACTTTGCCCACACACGCAAGTATTACAGTGAGTGCAAGCCATGGAGAATCAAGACCAACACAATACACTTCTCCTTTTCTTTCCAAGGAGAGATTAGAGAATTAACATACAGGACTGATGCTAAGGCCACATCATGGTGAATGAAACCATAACATGGTGTACATCCGATACAGCTTCTGCTCAGGTCAAATTATTGAGTGAGACCCTCAACCCTATTAAGAGGCAATGGCGTTTTTTGCCATTGAGTTTAGTGGAGATACAGCTTCCACCGATTTTGCTTCTGGCATTTTAAAAAGCTACTGTAACTCAAAACCTTCTGTTTGCATGCCGCTGAGTTCGACAGGAAACACATATAATAGTTTATGTTTCTTTTTCAAATCCTTTTTAGTACACTATATGAAATTAAAAACCTCAGTGACCTTTAAAAACCATCACAAAATATTTAGTGAATGGTGTGTTTTTCCATAGTAATGGAGAAGCAGATTGCAATCTTCCACTCCCGAAATCTCCTCTCCCTGACAGCCTCCTGAGGGTCCTCTCCAACCCAGCTCTGCAGCTCAGAGCTCCTCAATCTCAATCTTGGTCGTGGTCCTTCCGCGTGACTCAGAGTAGGTATCTCTGAAATGGCTTACACAAATAGAGGGCTCTAAATTAATCTTTGTAAAACACTTCCAGACCTGGAGGGGCTATGTGCTGTAAAATACTGTGCCTGTCAGCTCACCAAAAACAAAAGTTAAGGTAATAAGGTATCAGATGGCAACTTTCAGGAACACCTATAGAACACACTTAAAATATCAACCTAAACCACATTTAAAAGATGGATATGGCCCATCAAGTTCTGCACGTAGATGTTCTATGGTCCTTACAAGTAGTGCGCACGTTCAATTAACAGCCAAATCACTGTGTGCAAAACCAGCCTGCGCGTTTTACGAACGGCCTTACCTCCGACCCACAGCCCAGAGCCACATGTACCTACTGCGCCACAACCTCTCCTGGGGGCGTCTGTTGCCACTGGCACATTTTGGGGTGCTAATGGGGATGGGATGTCTCCTTCTGCCTCAAGGACCCCAAGAGAAAAGGGAGCTGTGATTCACCGCTCCCTCCCCTCCAGACCCGCGTGCTGGATTTCCTTCCATGCCTGGGGCTAGGCTGACTGCCAGAGGAAAGGTCTGGTAAAGCTAGTTTTGTTTTGTCTTTTAATCATACAGCAGGACTGGCAAGCTGCTCTGAGAGTATTTACTTTTCATCTGCCATCCGGGAGCCGGAGCGCCAATGGCTGCAGCTTTGGCTGGTCCCGGTACAGCTGTGGGATCAGAAACATCTCGCTGATGGCACCGGTCCGAAGTATGGATAGGCCGGCAGACCAAGCCTGGCTCCGTCTCCAGCAGCTCTGCAGGCAGATGTGCATCATCTCCTGTCCCCTCCCCTGCAGTGGGAGAGGCAGAACTACGCCTTCCCCGCAGTCCTGCCAACATGGACCACCACCTACAGCCACCATCGGGCTTGCGGCATAGGAAGCAGCTCACACGTATGGAAAGCGGTCCTGGAAAACCACTCCCAAACAGCTGGAGATGCCTGAACTGCTGCACGATACATTAAGCAATATGCTGTCAGCACCTAATGCCACCAGGGTTTACACTCCGTGTGTGAGCCTGGTTTTGTGCGCACTGCATTGTGGCTCAGAGCTGAGGCCAATTAAGTGGAAAAAGTTAATTGAGGAGGTAATTGAAACATGTAGGTGTATCTATGAGTTATCCTAAGCAAAACCATCAATCAGCAAAACGTGCTCCTGATGAAGAAGGGAGCTTTGCTGGTCCTCCTTCCCATCTGCCACAGCTAGCTGTAATACACTTTTAATATTACACTTATACTTTTCACCACTGCCTCGCCAGTGCTCACCTTGAGCGCCATTCATAGCACATGATGAGAACATCCTGCTTCGGTTGAAGAGGTGGACACTGGCAGGAGGAATTTGTAAGAAGGGGCACTTGAGACAGCGGAATCGGCATCGAAGACTTGAGTATGTCTTTGACTTCAACCACAGTCGTCACCTCATTGCAGCTCCCTCTTTCTATGCTTTTTACTTTAGCATGAATGACTGCAATTAGGAAAACAGAGGCATGAGAACAACAAACGATCTTAAAAATTTAAACACATCTCAAAATTAAATAAAAAGTACTAAACTGAAAGCTCTTGCTTTGGCTGTGAGACTAGAACTACGTCTTCATGTGTGGGCATGCACAGTGGCTTGGAATAACAGAGGCCTGATCCCAATTTGGTTTTCAGTAGGACTGTTGACTACCGTGAAATTAAATACGTGCTTAAATCTTTGCCAGATCAGGCCAAGCGATCTCGCCTGGCATCACATACACAAACAGCTCCTTTGACTCAGACTTGAACAACCCTTCACATAAATCAGACCCGTTCTATAGCCATGTCTGGCTATTTCCAATTAAGTCATGAATCATTTACCTCACAGACAGTTAGCGTGAACCCAGTCTTTTTAACAATAACATAATTTCCCTGTAGGTTGCATCCAGGAACTAAAGTCTTCTTAAGCAAGAAGGGAAGATTTGAAACAAGTAGTCAAAAACTAAGGGGTTTAGGATTGTCATGATTTACTCAGTCTATACTTTTTTTGCCTTTGGGTTATCCATCAATAGTAAGATCCTCATATGAAACAGAGTCTGAAGCGGGTTCTTTTGACTCTGAATATACCAACATTCATATTTTTACCTTCCATTGAGGAAAACTGCATGTCTGCATGAATGCAAGAAGGTGAAACTGTGTAGATTGCTCTGAGGATGATCCCTGGCTAACTTTGTACCTGGGAACCCTGGCAGTACCTACCACCGCAGCATTTCACCCTTTCTCTCCTGTGAGAAGCACCAAATCAGAGAATGGAAGCGCGAGTTTTACACAAAGAACTTTGTCTCTTGGAAATGTCAAAATAGGAAGGGTCCTATGATCACAAAATAGAATCATGAGAAGTGTGCATACCACAGGGTGATCAGCCTGCATCGACACTGCCCCTGGCAGCCACCAGATCAAAAGCCTTCAAACAGACCTCCTAACGTTTGGAATAAACTTCACATGTAGAAAACAGGAGACCAGCAATTTTAATGCAGTCTGGGGTTTATGTGCTAACTTTATCAGGACGTGTAACAGCCACAAAACACATGAGGGATTTCAGTTTCAGAGACTCACAATCTGTTTTCAAGCCTGACTGAAACCAAGTTCTGACCAGCTAGAAATGCAATTTGGCTGTATATATTATTTTAAAGGATTTCAGGAAAAAAAATTGGAATTTTATAATTTTTTTTGCAACTTAGAATCATAGAATCATTGAATCATTAAGGTTGGAAAATACCTCCAAGATCATCAAGACCAACCATCAACCCAACACCACCATGCCTACTAAACCATGTCCCAAAGTGCCACATCTACATGTTTTTTTTGAACACCTCCAGGGATGGTGACTCCACCACCTCTCTGGGCAGCCTGATCCAATGCTTGACCACCCTTTCAGTAAAGAATTTTTTCCTAATATCTGATCCAAACCTCTCCTGACACAACTTGAGGCTATTTCCTCTCGTACTATCGCTTGTTACTTGGGAGAAGAGACCAACACTCACCTCGCTACAGCCTCCTGTCAGGTAGTTGTAGAGGGCAACAAGGTCTCCCCTCAGTCTCCTCTTCTCCAGGCTAAACAACCCCAGTTCCCTCAGCCGCTCCTCATAAGGCTGGTGCTCCACCTTATTCTGCCTTGCCTCTCAATTCATTTTCCATATGAGCATGCCTATTTATTTCAGAGGAGGCTGAATAAAAGTCTACCTCTCAAAAACAGAATCTTCATTTCACAAATTCAATGGAATTAAATTTTGGACACCAACCTAAAGTTTTTATTCAAGCAACACTCCCACTGAAGTCACCGGAATCAGAGTTTTTGTGGCTAACACCTGTGCTTCATTTCAGAATAGTCATTTTATATCACTGCTTTTTCATATATTTCAGACAACTATGGAAGTTCATTGTCCCACCTGAACATGTCACTATGCTGTACTGAGGTGGATTGAGGAATTATTTAAAAAGAATATATGACATAAATGCACCAAAATGCCATGGCAAAAAAAAAGTGCACAATTGCCTAAATTAGATGTTCAGCTTGCTTATTCCCACCAAACTGGGGTTAGGGGTTTTTTTTCCCCTATACTATAACAAAGAAGCAAATAACTACAAACTTACTTTCATTTGATATCAGGCAAATAGGAATTGAATGGATATAATAACCCCACTTTGTAAGAACTGAATAAATCCCCTGAAGAAACAACTGCCATCTGAGAAAAAGCCCATAAAGTGCAAAAGACCACGTGTTAAATTCAGAGTTAATAGGGGTTTTCTATTGACATTACAGACATTTAATCTGGTATTTATCTAATCTTAATTAGAGTTCTTCCTGACGCCCAGCGTCAGAAAACTTTGGGCGGGGGGGGAGGGATATTGGGGTGGGGGGAAGCCAAGGGGGAAGAGGGATGGATACTTACTTGCATTGCCAATATGTCATGCAACATACGATAAAACTACCAGCCAACTCTTCGGCTGGGTGGTGCATATTGTCACTGAATTCAATTAATCTCTGACAATTCCGCACCAGATTAAACTCTGGCTAGTAAGTAAAAGAATATATGAATTTCTAAGTGATAACTTTTTACCTTGCTTCAGCTTCATTCACATTTGCAAGTCTCGTTTAGGTGATAAATTGCTTATTCCACCCGCTGGATGAAAACAGGAGCTGGCCGAGCAGCACATGGTCACGCTCACGTTAGACGTAATTGCACTTACTAGAGTGACCTGTACAGCACCAAGCACCCTTTCTGCAGGGCGACCTGCACATTACCGACGTTTCACCGCTTTCATCAGAAACACACCATCGTCTGCGCCATGACTACTACTGCCTGCACGAGCCTGTGCGCGAGCAGTGGGTTTTGGAAGAGGACGGCTAGGTGTCCTCGGGCAAAAACCCACCCAGTGGAGCAGTGTCCTCGCGCCACGCTTGCTGGATGGGGCCTGCCTCACTCGCGGGGGGCACAGAGGGGAACGGGGTGGGCCAAGCAAAGCGTTTTCCCCCATGCACTTACTGTAGCTGTAGTTCTTGGCCAGGTAGGTCGACAGCGTCGGCTTCGTCTTTTTGCACCTGCATCGCTCTTTGAAGGAAGAGAAGGGGAAACGGTTGAGGGGTGTCAGAGGCGGGCTGGCTCTGTGGATGGGGGGGGGCACTCCCCATGCACACTCCTGAAGAGAGCAGGGGGTGGGGGGTGCGTATTGCCCTTCACACATGGATCCAGCCCTAGGAAACCTTCCCACACAGCCTGCAGTGGACAGCTCTGCCCACTTCATCCCTGCTCCTCACCCAGCCCCTGCGTACGGCAGCAGCTGAGGATGCTGCCCCCCCCCCCGGG